TTCTTCCTCACCATTCTTCTTCTTCCTCTCTTCGACTCTTCCCTTTCTTCTCTTTTTTCTTCCTCTCTTCCCTTTCTTATCTTTCTTCCCTGCATCCCAATCCAATCACACAGCACTGAACAACTCTTATTTCTTTTAAGAACCGATCAAATCGACCGAACGGTCGGTTAAGCACATGGTCTTTATATTTCATTTTGATTTTTTACTTTTTAAACGACTTACTGAGTATCTTCCAAAAATTAACCATCATTCCCTTACAAATAATAATAATAATAAATAAATAAATAAATCAATGACAAGAAACTAATGTAAATAAACTAAAAGTTACCCAAACATAATATTTATTAATAGATAACTAGAGTTTTTTTAGTACAATAAAAGACTACGAGAGTGAAAAATAAACTAGAAATTACCTAAACTAGACATGATACTTATTAGGAACTAAATTTCATGCGTCAAACAAACAACGTTAGAATGATAATAATTCATCAAATTACGGAAAAATCTAAAATCTGGCACTTGAGCAAATCATGAACAGTTCCCATTCTGACAACCTGTTCCATAAGCAACAATATCTTGAATCAGCAGCTTGAGATTTAAGTGAGAAGAGCCCCCTTCTTGTAGTGCTCTCTTGGCCTTCTCAGCGAGTTGTTTGCATCTCTCTCTCATCTCCTCACTCCCATCTCCATCCATCGCCATTTCTATGGCTTCTCTCACTTTGTCTCTCTTCACCAACGCCCTTTTCTCAGCTTTCCCTGCCCAATCCACAGCCGTTTCCACGCCTACGCCTACTCCAATCCTGAGTATCTCTACAATCAGTTTCTTGTTGAAATTTTGATCCCCAAAAATCGGCCAAGTGATCATGGGCACGCCCGCAGATATGGCTTCGGTGCACGAATTCCAGCCGCAATGAGTCAAAAAGCATCCAATTGCAGAGTGGGTCAGTATCAGAACTTGAGGTGCCCACCCCTGAATCACCAGCCCTCTCCCTTCCGTTTTCCCCTCCAAATCGTACTCCGTTGCCCATTTCTGAAACTCTTCCGTTGCATATTCTTTTCTTA